AAGTGTGCGTTTACTTGATGAGACTCTCTGATGTGGGTGCAGGACACCTCTCCACACGACAGCAGCGCACACACTGTGTGCTCTGCCTGCATAAATCTTGGGATTATACAACCAGTCAAATAATTTCCAGCCAGATTTCTCAGTGATAATATTAGAGCAGGGAGCTTAATACTATTAACACACTATCAATCACACACTTACAAACCCACAGAGTAACCCAGAGACAACAATTTTCCCCATACCTCTTACAGATTTTACTACAAATAAACAAAAGCATTTCCACCCTGCACTTTCCCTTTCCAAGACTGCTGCCAGCTCTGACATTTTTTTTATATTCCTCTGAATAAACCATCCCAAAAATTTCCATATCTTTAACAGCAACCAAAGCAGCAGCTACAGAGGATTTCTGCAATCCTCAATCCTTCACCACAAACTCTTAAGGAAAACCCCAAAATTCTCAAACAATTTCTTTGGCTAAATCCCAGAGTTTCACCTCTACTGGCTTTTCAAAACTGCACCCTTTGCTTCTAGCAAAGTGTGCTCCCTGCTGACAAGCAGGCAAGGAACAAGGAGGAAGATGTTATGTGTCTCAGGTGGTTTGAGTTCAGCAGGATGTCAGCATGGGAGGCTGAACACAGAGGTTTTTCTCAGTTGGCATTTGAAAAGAAGAAAGATGGAAACCTGTCTCGTTACCTATTCAATATAACATAGTCTGGGAAGTCCATGCCTTTTTTTGTTTGTTTGAACATCATGTTTTTTAAACATGTTTTGTCAGTACTTAATGGCTTTTTTTAGGAAATACTTGGAGAAGGTACCACCTAAAGAAATGGAAGTTTCGCAGAGTCCGCCTTGAAATGTGTCTCCTCTCTACATGACATTTTGAATTCCCAAAAGCCGGTATTCCTGTCATTTTTATGAAGCTGTTTCATGCCTGTTTGTAACTCTCTGCCTTCCCAGGTTTCCTCCCTATCCCTCATACCCAACAAGCTGCTCACTGACTGACACCGCCGCGCTGGCACCACTGCGCTCACACCCTGCCAGGCACTGCTTTCCAGGGTTTGTTTTTTACACCAGCCGCTGGTAAATGAGGCTGGTGTGACAGACCACTGGCTGGATAATGAGTTCATTCTCCAGACCCACCGAGAGCAAGGTACTTTCCTGGCCCATCTGTTCTCTACACTCCTCACGGCACAGCTCTGGGAATGCTGTTCCTAAAGAGAGCAGCAAACACCCGGCGGACTGCTGATGTGCAATAGACCCCGGGTTGATGGCCTCCGTAACACACAGTGCAAAGCTTTCTCAGCCGAAAAATGGGAAGAGACAGAGCACTGGGATTACATCAGAGCCATTGCTGGAAAGTCTTAAACTGGAAAAAAAAATCAGGAGGGAAGAAAGTCTCCAGAAGGCTCAAACAAATCTAGCACACACATCGCACAGGCACAGTGATCTTCCTCTGCCACCTCTATTTCCTCCACATTTTCTAGGAGAAATAAAAGCCCCAGGCTAGTCACAGGTCTGTAAACAGAAGTGGTCAAAAGTCAAAGCAAAGATCTAGAGAGACTGGAACAAGAAATGACACTTAAAATACCAAGCCAGGAAGTTTATCCAGTCTTGACTGAAACTGGCACACCTGACCTCACAAAGGAAAAAGGAAAAAAACAGTTAAAAAGCCTAGGTAACATCTGCAAATATTTTTAGAGGAAAAGAAAACTAGTACCTTCTTCAACTGGGAGAAGGGATGAATAAAAATTGATGGGGGTTAGTATACTTGAGTGGCGAGTGGTTTAACAAAAATAGCTTGGGCTCTGCAACATACCATCTCCTCAGTACAAAAGCATGGCAACAGATGACTGACAGCATAGCATTTCAAACTGCCTTTCAAAAAAGTTCTGTGTGTCTTTAAACACCTTGTCCTGCAGAACTTGATGCTGGTTGGTATGAACAAGGGGCAGATGTGAGTGATTCATTAATGCCTTGAGACTGATGAAGGTCAGGAGAACATCCTCACTCACATCCAATAGGACACTGTAACAATGAACTCTCACAGCTAGGGTTGGGATATGAGCCAGCTATTAGCAGATAGAGCTTGCTCAAGGTAAATCCTTCCACAGCTGCCTGTTATGCTCTATCACATTATTTGTCCTGACAGACACAGCACTGTCCATATAGATCACAGGTGCAATCCAGTATGGAAATCCTATCCGGTTGTGCAATACATTACTGTCCTCTCTCTGACTGTACCAATGTCTGAATTAAACTGTAATATCTCATGACTGGAACCTTTCTTTAATTCATACTGAAGACCACTCACACAATCTATGTACTGAACAAAGTAGTAAATTCACCTCAACATCTTTATGCTTTTCCATAGTCTTTAAATCATTCATATTCAGACTTTCTGGATTGGATGGAAATGTTTCTAGTCCATAACTTTTCCATTAATGTTTTTGTGGCATTAACTCTTTAAAGAAAAAGCTGTGTTCTTTAATCATCAGGAGAAAGAGCAAAGCCCATGCTTCACTGCTGCAGGATGAGCCCGGAGCAGCCCTTGGGCTCTGAGCCATCCTGGAGCAAGGTCCTAAAATCAGGCCCTGAATACATCCCTAGTGAAAAGCACACATTGCAAATGGGTGGCTGGTGGGGTGGCATCTCCCTCCCTCCAGCAGTGCTGAAGGAGTCCTCCTCCTGTTTAGGCAAAGAAGTTCAGCAGACCCCCCTTTCTCTCACATGATGTGTTTCTGTAAATGAAACCCTCCAAATGTGCTTGCCTGTCACCCAAAATGCAATTATTATGCAAGACATGATAAAAATTTGAAAAGAAGTTTGAGAACAGGCTCCACTGCATCATCTGCAGAAGCTAAGGGGGATGAACAACAGAGCTGCATGGTAGGAAACCAAACACTTCACTGCAGTGCACCTAATTTGTGAAACATCTTGAAAATCAGCCTCATCGAGACACAGCATGCCAAGGGCTCACAGGTAAAAACCACCACTGAGTACAGAAAAACACATTAAACCCACATTAAGGGGTTTGGCAGAGTCCTCTCAAATTCAGAGAAAGACCTTCCTTAGCAAGGACCCTGTACGCCAAGACACTGCAGCCTTTAGGGTATCAATGACACTCTTTTAACAATTGCCCTTTTCTTAATGAACTCTTTTTCTTCCATGGGTTCAACCCAGAGCTGGAAGGTCCCCATAATCACTGCTACCAAGGCTACTGCTGCTAGTTTGTGTATTGTTTCCTTAGGTACTCCAAATTTCTGGCTTGAAGCCAGTCTCTCAAACTTAAGGGGTTCTCCCCAATACCATATGTTAGCACACATCTCTCCCTACTTCTGAATCTGCCCTGAGAAGGTTTGTCCCCCTGCAGCGCTCTCCAGCTGCTCCCAGCTTCTGCCTCCAGCCTCTGACCTTTCCATGGCTACCTGTGAAATCCCACATTCAGTAAGAGACTTTTTAAAGCAAACAGTTTACATATGATTAATTCTGCCCGTAGACCTCAAAAAGCCCCTTCCTGATTAACAAAGGTCACTGAATTTCAAAAGTTTATGGCAAACAATTCAAATATATTACAACCCTCCTATAAAAAACTACGTAAAAAAAGTCCTTGGTTTTGTCTGGAGAAAATAATTGTGGCTGAAAGAAAAGCAAGAAGCTGGGTAGATAAAAACTGGAAAACTGATAGAAGAGCAGCTGTGGTTTAACACCAACAGCTAGAGAGGAATAAGGCAGGGCTTCTTGTCACAGCAACCTCAAGACACAGAGAAAAAAAAAAAAACTAACAGAGAGTGCTGCTGGAATTCCTGTCACAGTCACATGGCAGTAGGATATTCTCTGAGTGCTTTGGGGTTGCACTTTCCCTTCATGGATGTCAAAACATGTTGCAGAGGTATGACATGGCTGTATCTTCATTTACAGTGAGGGGAACTGAGAGGAGGTGATGGGAAGTTGTTTTGTCCAGATGACTTTTATCCAGCAAAGACAGAACCCTGGTCCTTAACCCTCCACAGCCTTGTTGAGGAAGACAAGGATTACAAGCCCCAGCAATTCCCGTTGCAGGTTCTGTGCCTTGGAGCACGCCAGGACTTTTCAGTGGTGACAGTCAGTGACAGTGTCACCCAGAGCTCAGTACCAAAGGTCTTCCAGCTGGGCTGGCCACCAAAAAGCCATCGTGGCACAGAGACTGTCCTATTGAAGCACAGGCAGTGATGCTCCAGCCCTTGGTGAGCTCTCACAGCTCTCTGGGACCAGCAGAGGAGCTGCAGCCCCCTTTGCTGAGGAGAGCGTATGAAAACATTAAGCGGGAATCCTCAATCATCTTCCCACATGTTCCCATCATACCTTTCTCTATTAGGTAGCCGTGACTTTGCTAACCTGGCTGATCCATAATTCATAACTATTATCCATGCTCAATAATTACAGTGTTAATATTTTTGTAATTTAAAAGTACCTTTCTCCAGCAGAGTTCAGCCTGTACCACTGAGTAATGTACAATTTAATATTTAAGTGTTTATGAGCAAAAATGTTCTCTCTCCTCTTTCTTCCCAATTCACACCATCAAAATGTTTTCAAAATGTTAGGGAAAAGAGGAATTTTAAGAAGGAATGTCATTACTTTAAAGCAAAATTTAAAAATATTAAATGCATAATGCTCAATCTATCAATCAAAGTGTGTCTGCAGTACAGACACACTGAAAGCCCTTCACTTTCTAATCACTAATAGGTAACACTATCAAATTCAGCCCTACACTCTATTAGAATTGCAGTAGAAAAGCACTTAGTGTAATATCCAAAGACAGCTCACCAAATCTTGCTCACTTGGCTCAAAGACAGAACCAAAGATGTTAATAATTTGAAAGCTTCCTTAACTAATGTGCTTTATCAACATGTTTAGAAAAGGAAATAAAATACCTATACACAACTTCTGCAGATTAAAAAAATAAATTTAACTTGTATTCAGCCAGAGAACTGTGATTTTTTTTTCCCAGATTTGTGAATTACCCGTGGATGTGATGCTGTCCTGGATGCAGAGCCCATCATCTTCCAGTTGCAAACCACAGGAATCATTTCCATTCCTTCCTTCTGACCACATCAATTTCAGGCTTGTTTCTAGCAGGATTTTTTATGTCTTCATTTCCTAATTCCTCATTTTCCCATCAGTCTCCCAAGAACCACAGACACAATGTTTGCAGGGAAGTGATGAACTTCATCCAGCCTCCTCTCTTTCAGCTGTGCCTTGTTTCCTTGACCTCCTCCCAGGGAAGGACAGGTAGAGACATCAAGCATCTGTGACCAGGTCCAGTTCTCATGTCCTCTCTTTTAAAATTATTTTCAACCTCCAACTTCAGATTTTCTAAGGTTTTCTTACTCTCCAGAGTAAATGTCACTGACAGAGCTGCTGTAAAGCAGCAGAGAGGGAGCAGAACCGCCCAGCTGCAGGCAGCAGCACAGTAGTCATGAGGGGATGTAGCAAACACCAAGTTTACACACATACAGAGACACTGTGAGCTGGTGACAAGTAGTACAAAGACTTATTTGATGCAAAGACAGAATGACTGCATTGCTTATGTCAAAAAAAGATCAGTGGAAGCACAACAACAGACCATTCTGCATGCAACACACACTGCATAAAGCACAAAAAATACTCTTTATGTTTCCTGCGCTTTTTAGCCTGGTTTCTCAGGAAAAAAACAAGAGACTTGCAATTGTTCTGTCAGTCATTGCTTCCCCAAATAACTTTTGAACCTGTTGGCTGATCTCAGGTTTGACAGATAGGCTGAGGTCTCAAAGGGATCACATTCCTATCAGATGCATGAATATAATAGACACTCAAACTAGTGCCTTTACCGAGCTGCCCCCCGTGCTGTGGCTGCCTCTGCTCTGTACCTCAGGGGTACCAATTAGCCCACGAGCCAGAGCAGCTCTGTGGATGAGGAACAGCTGGGGGAATGGTTACTTACACCCTCAGACAGTGCACATCGCAAAAACAACACTGTGAACATTCCAGCCACAGGACACACTGAGATGGGGGCTCCTGCCTTCTCAGCTCCTCCAAGCACACAGAAATTCAGAGCAGAATCCCAAAATGCTCCTGCTGGCAGCCTGAGCAGCTGGCCTTGCTGTCTTTGATGCTTACTTTGTCCTCAAAACCGAGTTCCTGATATTTGCAAGCTCCCGTGTGCTGTTAGTGCTGATGCCCCAAGGATTGCCCTGTTTCCCCAAGGCTCAGCAATAAATGGCATTACTTTCCTTGACCTCCGCTGCCTGCCCCTTGGAGCTGCTAACAGGAATACAACCTTCACTGCTAAAGCACACATACATTTTCCTGCTGGAATTACAAAAAAAAATAGAGAGGCATTGCCTGGCAAAGAGTAAAATCCTTGTTTAGCTTTAAGGGGATGCATATTACAAGGAAGCTAAAGGACTCTCATTCTAATAGCCAATGCTGCTAATTAAAACTGTTTTGGAAGATCTGCAGCCAGCATATAAATCACCCCTCTATATGCTATAAATAAGAGGCAGATACGGAATTGAATAGCACTCATTTGTCAACGGAATGAAGAGATTTGATTGTGCCTTTTTGAATAATAAATCCAGACATACCTAGCAGGGCACGGAGAGTTGCTCCAAGTGTCTCTTTTATCAAACAACAATGATTATATTATAGGGTATGCATTATGGGGCATCATCCATTTCTCTTGTTTTCTCATTTATTGCTGACATCCTCCCTCCCAGATGAAACATTTCACTCTGTATAGCATGTATTCATGCAAAGATCTCAGAAGCCAGGCAGGAGCAAACAGTACTGAGTCTCCTGATATGATGTGCACATACTAGAATGTATCACAGAGCAGAGAGGAGATTTGTAGGGAAATCGAGCCATGGAAGCCTAAATATATAAGGGTTTTTTCCTATATATTTTCTCATAGCACTTATAAAGGACACTTGAAATGCACTGGGTATCAGGTAGCGGAGAGTCACATTGTTCTTATCATCAGTGGATGACCATTTATACAAAAAAAAAAACATAGAGAACCAAAGCTAAATTCCTCCAGATCATGTTATAACAACACTGAATAGTGGAAACTCCAAAGATATCCACATAAACCACCAGATTCTCAATATAATAATAATAATAATAATAATAATAATAATAATAAGTTACCTCACTCCTGTGTGGAAATCTCTTCTCAACCATGAACACTACATCCCACTCACAGCCACCATGTCTTTCTCACTGGAAAAAAAACCACAAACAAACGATCAAATGGGCACTAATTAGGAAATGGCATTCATTAATGCTAAGTTCAGAGTAGCTTCAAATTTTGCACATGCACTCATAAAATAGTTGATTTAGGAGTCCCTGTCACACAGAAGGCTGCAGAAGGTTAATTGAGTTCACTGTAGAGGTATCATTACCTCTATAACATACCTAAGGAGAAAAGTACATCAGTCAGGTTATGAAGATAGATTTATTTTAAGCCTTTAAAGCTCTTTGTCAAATTTTTGCCCTCTGATAGGATGGTAATTCCTCTTGCTTTGTCCCTAAAACTCACTACAACTGAACAGCAACTTCCACAGCATCCCCTCGACCATGGATTTTGCACTCCCCACCCACTGGTTGACTGAGACACAGAGAAGCCATGACCTCTGGCATCTGCTTCCATTTACCCAAAGGAAAAACATTCTTTGGGAGGGACCATAGGATTTCATGCAGGCTTTCCTTTCCCCTTCTGAAGGAGCAGCTGCTGTCTGGAAGCCCATGAAACCAGCCCAAGGGGCTGCTGAGAATTTCCCAGGCTGTGCCTTTATCTTCACTTCTGTTGGGGCTTCAAGTGGGAAGAAACAAGGGGGAAATCTCTCCATTTGGGATCTCCCTTCCAAAACAGCAGCAACAGTCCTTTCAGTATAACCAGGATAAACAGCATCCTCATAGCCTGCTCCTCATCTGCTCAGGCTAGTAAAGCTGTGACCCATGTGTATTATTTTATTAACAATAACTCTAAACCAGGATGATTTTATTATTTTGATGTTATGTTTGCCAATAAAAAGGAAAAGACAGTGCTAGGCTGAAAGAATTCGATGGCTACGCATTGATTTTGAAATCGCAGCCATGCTGTCCACATCCTGAGGTGCTTATCTGCCCTCCCCTTGCTCCCTTGAGTTCCTAAGTAATGTTCTAGGCACTACAAGTCAGGCCATGGCTCCCATGTCACCAGCTCTGCAAAGACTTTGCAGTCACTGTTTAGTGCCTGATGATGATACAAAAGCTACTGCAGAGCAATTCACCACACACACACACAGAGCACAAAGCAAGCAGATGGGACTCTGAGTACAAAGAGGATAAAACATCATTTTAACAAAATCCATTTGTTCAGATGACCTGAACTTGAAATTAAGGTGTTAAAATCCAAGACAAAGAGGATTTCTGATTGGCAGCCAGTGATGTCAGCCCTGTGCCAATTACAGAGGGAATTCATGTGGCTGCCTTTAAAAAGAAATAATTCCTTCTCTGATACAGCAATAAGACATTGTAGACAGCCCATTTGCAGGGGATTACACGGCACTTCTCAGGTAGTTAAAGTCACTGAGCCTTTTGACCTTGTGCCTCCTAACACTACTGGAGGCATAATCACACTGCTTATCATGTGTGTCTTATTGTTTAAACAAAGCCCAGCCACCCAGCAAACTGAGCCCTGAACCTCGGGCTCATTGGCTATGAATTATTATGCTGAAACAACATGAATGTAATAAACAGAGCTATTTATTAGTTTATTCTATGATTTCAGAGATGACTACGCAGACTAAGAAACTAGAGGAAGGCTGCACCAGGCCAGAATGAAAGCATTTCTCAGGTCATTGCCTCAAACAGAGATATTTCATGCTACCACAATGCTTACACAGGACAAGTAAATCTTTGCACATTGCAATCTTGAAGTCACTAGAACTAATTGTCTCTCCAGATGGGATCTGAGCTTACTCGCTGTCATAACGTTCAGCATATAATGAACATCAGGCAAGGTGAAAATTGATATCAAGAGCACTTCTAAGAGCTAAAAAGTTAACACTTAAATTGGAAATCAATATATGCTTTAAGTATTGAACAGCAGAACAGAAATCTCCAGGTTTTTGCCTCTGCTGAGTGAATACTATTATAGGTTGAGCTGAAGTCCACTGAAAAACCATACATTTAACAATGGTTTTTAAAAAAATGCACAAAGCAACACAACCCTACACTTTATGGAGTGATTGCCTAACTCTACCACAGCCGTATGCACCTGTGCAGAACAACCAGGAACATGCTAAAACAGATGTGAGCAGTGACTTTTTGTCTATCTGTTAGTTTTTGAAGTCGTGCTTGTTTCCTCAAGACAAACAACAAAGACCAGAAGAAACCACAGCTTAGAGGAGGACGGATGGCCTTCGGTACAGGCATGGGAAGGGCAGGTCTATGCCTGGTGATGGAGCATGGGGCAAAGATTTTGAGCTTGCTCAGCACATGAAAGCCGAAATCACATCCCTGCAATGCAGTTCACAGGCCTTTTCTTATTCTGCACGTGGAACTGCACAAAGGCAACTATAGTGCTTTGGGAATTGGTATCTCCACACAGTGCCCTGCTCTGCGGAGGGGACACACCTCCTTGGGTCAGTACTAGGTGAAGAGCAGCTGCAGAATATGTCATCCCATGCTGTGTATCTGCTCAAAGCAAGCTTTTCAGACTCACTGATGAATGAAATAGCTGTGAAAAACAAATGTCTTACTGTTTGAGTCCTCCAGCCTGCAAGGAAGCAGGAATTTCTGTGCACTACATCAAAGAAACACTTGACCCTATGTGATCAATTCCTACTCCTAATTATTACACACCGAAAGACCTGAATTCCTGCTAAGTCTCTGAGGTGAAAAGGGCAAGAATATCTCAGAGAAGGTTAGAAAATCCGTACATTTCTATAAATATTTGTTGGTCTCCATTCCTTTAACTTTGCATGATTAAATACAGCCTGCTTCTGTTCTTCCACTTTATCCTCCGGGGAAATTTATCATCAAAATTATTGTACAGCATTCATTACTCTAGCCTCATTTAAAACCTTGCCCTACTTATTATTTAGGCTGCAAAAAAAAAAAAATGTTGCTTTGTATAGTATTTCCTATAATAGTCTCAATCATTACATTAAAAGATTGCTGTAAGGCAGCTTAGCCTGCATTAGAGAAAAATAAAGTGGGATGCCATAGTTAAGTGTTACAGTTCTTATTCAGCTTTTGTTTCCCAAATCATAACAATGCAACGTTTCAGTTCCTTAAAAGGCTCTCACTGCTCATTAGCACCATCCAGGCCTTCAGTGCCTGGCTTTAAAAGGTACTTTCAGTGGTTTTTCTCCAGTTTAAAAGGTGGTGGGGACAGGCAGAGGGATGGGATGGGAAGGAATGGAATGCAAGGGAG